AGCGCCTTTCACGTCGGGAGCACGTCCCAAGGCGCTGAAAGGGTAGAGAAATTGGATAAGATAAGAGTAAACCGAAAGGACGTACAAAAACGTTGAAGGTGCTCAAAGTAGATAAGTCACCCGGCCTGGACAGAATGCATCCTAAGTTACTGAGGGAAGTAAGGGTGGAAATAGCAGAGTCTCTGGCCACAATCTTTCAGTCCTTGGACACCGAGGTGGTGCCAGAGGACTGGAGGGTTGTAAATATTATTCCCCTGTACAAGAAGGGGCAGAAGATAAACCTGGAACTTCTACAGACTATAATCTGGGACAAAATAAATTTTCACTTAGAAAAATATGGGTTAATAAAGGACAGCTAACACAGATTTGTTAAAGGCAAATTGTGTCTTACAAAGCCGATGAGAGTTTTTGGATCAAGTGATGGAGAGGGTTGGATGAAGGTAGTGCAGTTGATGTAGTTTAAATGGATTTTCAAAAGGCTTTTGATAAAGTACCATATAAGAGACTTATAAGCAAAATAGAAGCCCACAGTATTAAAGAGACAGTGGCAGCATGGATACAGAACTGACAGAAAGCAGAGAGTGGAAGTGAACGGTTGTTTTTCTGACTGGAGAAAAATGTGCAATGATGTCCCCCAGGGGTCAGTATTGGGCCCATTGCGCTTTTTGATCTATATAAATGACTTGGACTTGGGTACAGTGAGTACAATTTCCAAATTTGCAGATGATACTAAACTAGGAAAAGTAGGAAACGGTGAGGAGGAGAGTAGCAGACTGCAAGAGGACATAGACCGACTGGTAGAATGGGCAGACATGTGGCAGATGAAGTTCAATGTGGCAAAATGCAAAGTAATGCATTTTGGGAGGAAGAATGAGGCGAGGCAATATAAACTGATGGTACAATCTTAAAGGGGGTGAAGGAACACAGAGACCTGGGCTTTCATATAAGAAAATCTTTGAAGGTGGCAGGATAGGTAGATAAAGCTGTTAGGAAAAGCATACGGGGTACTAGGCTTTATAAATGGGGGCGTAGAATACAAAAGTCAGGAACTAATGATGAACCTTTATAAAACACTGGTTAGGCCTCAGCTAGAGTGCTGTTTGATCAATGTTTGTAATTACCTTCATAATTCTGAACATCCCAAATCATAATCATTGCCAACCGCTTCAGGACTGAAGAATACAACCTACCGAGAGCCTCACTTTAGTCAAAGATGTACAGACTTGCAGATATTCTGTTGAGGTTCAGTACGTGCTGCATGGGGGAGCATTGGAGCATATTTACTCGAATTCCATGCAGCCAAGTGATCAGTAGGGGAAGAGAATTCAAAAGGATCAGGACAAAAAAAACCAGGATACAGCACATCATGTGTTGTGTCACACAATGGCACAATACAAGTCAACATTAATAGTCATACCAACTGGGTGTCCAATGTGACTTTATCCTTTCTGAAGAGTTTGAAATTACAATTAACCATCTAGCAGTTACAATAATAAGCCCAAGCTGCACATCACTGCACTGGAACATAAGAGGTTCAAAACTCCATGGGTTCCAATATTAGGCCAAGGCTACGTGCTTTGGGGTTTTATCTGTGGTAAAGTCATTCAAAGAGATAAATCAGACAATCTACTTGCAATTAGCCGAAGGAGATCAGCTCATAATTTCCTAGTTTCCTGCAGTGGGAGTGGCAGAACATTTTGTGACTGGCTGACATCAATCTAGCAAAGGAGGTTAACTGCTTGCTGAGACCCTGGAAATAAACAGAACTTGGAACAACAACTTGCAATTATATAGCACCTTTCATGTCTCGAAGCATTTTACAAAGACATTGTGGATCACTGAGTCGGGTGGGTTTAGAAGTGGGGGTCGGATGAGGCAAGGTCAAGGAGAATTTTGAGAGGGTTTTGAAGGTGGGGAGAGACAGCGAATGGGAAAGAGATTTTAGCAGAGCACTTTCACTTGAGTTTCCTTTTTCCTGCATTATATTAAACACAAGATCTAATTGACAGTACAAACCATTGCTTTATCAAAACTTTAGGACTGCAATACTTCTGCTGCACTTACCGCAAATCAAATCAAAATGCTCCAAAATGAATCAACAGGAAAGTAAGAAAGGAGATTAAGATTTTTAAAAAAAGGATGATTCACAAAGCTTGTAGGGAGAACAGAGAGGGCCACCGTTGGGCTGAATACAAGGCTGTATAGAAAGAGGAAGAAATTAGAGGAAACCAGAGAGAACTGGAAAGGGATGGAGCAGCAGATGCAAATCACATTCTGCCCCAAAAATCTTTCAAGTAAGAGGCTAATTCAGGGAAGACATTAAAACCCCTAAGGGACTGAAAGTGTGTGTGGGGGGGGGGTGAAAAAGAGATTGAACGGGAGATAGTGAATATATTAAATGACTAATTCCTGGGAGATTTTAAGCAGGAGCTGAAAACCAAGCTTTTAAACACTTAAAAACATGGCCGCAAAAGGCCAGCAAACATTCTTTGAGCTCCAGGACGTTAACATAAGTAAGGCAGAGGTACTGAGTAGGCTCAAGGAGCTGAAAACTAGTATATCCCCCACAGTGATGGACTGTATCCCAGGGTAATTAGGGGAGAAGCGGCAACAGATTTATGCATCACTGATGGGCATTAAGGGGTGGTCTACCCCCCTGGTGAGGTTTCAACAGACGAAGGAAGTTTCTATTATGCAAGAAAGGTGACAGAACCGTACATGGTAACTGTAGAACCGTTAGTCTGACCTCGATAATATAAAACACAATCAGCAGAGAGAAAATGGAATAGCTCCAGTTTAAAAAAAACCTACTAACTGACAAACAACATAGATTCTGAGATTATACACCTTGTCTGACCAACCTTAGATTTTTTTTGAGGAGGGTACAGCCCAAATTCAATAAGGGGGAACCATATGACATAGTGTACCGCAGTGACTTCCAAAAGGCATTTGACAAAGTGCAGCATGAAAGAGAAGTGTAACACAAACTGATGTCACTGAGTAGTAAGGGCAAGACATGGACACAAATTTGAAATTGGCTGAACAGAAGGAAGCAGTCGTAATGGGAGCCAGGTCACAATGAGAGAGTAAAAATACGAGGCATGTAGAACTTGCCAAAGGGAAGCTAAAAGAGATTGAGAGGTGTCAGTTGACTCATCACCCGCTCAAAACTGTGCGAGGCAGCAATAAACAAGACAAACAGGATGCTGGGCTATATTGTCAAATCAGAATTCACTCTCAGGCTGGACAGACCGTACCTAGAATACCGTCGCCAAGACATATGATTGCCCAGGCACGAGAGACAGTGCAGAGGAGAGCAATGAGGATCCCCAGTGTTAGAGGAATGAACTGTGAGCAACAATTAGACAAGCTAGGGCTCTTCAGTGTTGAAAGGAGATGTTTCAGAGAGGATCTTATAAGACGTGTACACGATTTTAAATGAGATTGGGAAAATAACCCAGATCAGTACTTTTGGATGTGCTGAGATTAAAGAACAAGAATTGAGCTGCAAACGAGCAATTTCAGGACAGACACCAGCAAGTATTTCTTTACTCGGAGGGTAATTAATGACTGGAACGGGTTACCAGGAAGGACACTTGAAGCCAGGACAATGGACTCATTTAAAAAACAATTTGATGCTGTGATGGGAGGATGGTAGAACGGGTATTCTGGAAAGATGAGATCAAGTGACCAAACAGCCTTCTTCATCTAACCCTCGAACATTAACGAAAATCTGAATTTGTTGAATTCCAGCAGGCAATTAAGAATGGTCTGAATTTCTTGTCATTCCTCACTGTACTGCAGTTACAGATACATCACTGAGGAATGCGAGCAGAAATGATATCTGGATATCTATACTAATAGTAATCGAGGGGTAATTCTGTAATAAGAGGTGAGATGATAATTCATATCCTGGGCAGCATTGTACAACAGCATAAACCTCCAACCCTGCTCAACAAGCAAAAAATTCCAGATGTGTAGGACGTAATAAACTGACTCATGGACTGTAATAACATTAGGAACTCAACAAGCTACTGAGGATAATAAAATTGGGAACTCAAAAGCCCATAGGGTATAAATAATAGACCAAGAGATCTGACCCATAGAGTCACCAATCTGAACTCACCAACCCAGAGTGTAACTAGAAAGAAATACCTATCTTGTTTATCTCAGAAGGATGTTATTTTACATGCACCTCATTGGAAATCACAAACATTTTGCACAGAAATTATGTACAGTGGTAGTTTACAAGAACATTTAAAGATTTTTCAATGCAGCAGTTCTGCAGAGTTCCTACCATTTGCCTTCGAAAGCCAATAATTGTGCACATCACTAACTGGGGATCCAGCAGAAAGGAACCTCAGCTCACTCGTCTGTGCCAGATCGGAATCAAGATGAACTGAGAGTGAAATCCTGCGTGAACCAGACATGGCCAACCTATAAGCAAACCCTAAAAAAACAACTCCCTCGATAATTATTTTGCCGCAATCAAATCTGTACATTTTTAAAAAGTGCAGAGCTAGTCACCTACACGTGGAGGTCGAATGGCGGAGTATTTCCATGTGTGCAGAAGCACACGTTAAACACACACGTACACATAAACACACACACACACACAGAGACATACACTGATTTAAGTTCCTGTTTGTTCGCCCAACCCAGTCCTCAACACCCACCCACCCCCCATTAAATTGGCCGAGAGAAGTGAAACGGATGCTTCTAGAAGCACAAGTGTCTAAACCTGCACTGAACGACTACAGAAGTCAGCTTATTTTGGAAAACAAAGTTTTCTTCTTTCCCTCTTCCCCCCCGACACAGCAACAATCACCTCTGCATCTGGAAGAACAACTTCCTTGCGCTTTCTGCTGTGGGGGAAAAAAAATCCCCCGGCTTCCTAAAATCTAAATCGCATAACAAACCTTAGACACGGAGACTGGATGTGCAACTACCAAGATACAGCCTTGTTTTTTGGAGGAAGAGGGAAGTGGGGGAGAGGGCGGGGGAGAGGGGGAGAGGGTTTGAAGCACGAAGTGGATGCGACCTTTTCATTACATAAGAAAAGTTCCTGGCAGCTCAATGCTTATAGAGTCCATGGCGTGTGGATTGGCTGCCGACCTCCCGAGGTGTAGGCTTTAATGACCCATGACGTATGGTGACCCCAAGTGCTTCAACTGTGCAAACGTAGAATGTCAAAGTTAATCTGATGGGTTTCTTTTCTTCTCTGGTCCTTTATATATTTTTTCCTCTCTCCTTGAAACATTTTTTGGTGAGCGATCGATCACGCCTTCAGCTGGTGCCACTGAGCCACCGCTTGCCGTGGACGGCCTATCATATCCTTCCAATGCTTAACCTCTCCCGGGCCGCTCTTCCAAGACAAGTAAATCTGGAGGAGTCAGAAGAGGGAGAGAGAAATCAGTTGATTAGCCGCCAGTAAAGACCCGTTTTTTGTTTAGATTCTTTCTCTATTACCCTTTCCTCGGCTCTCAGCTTGGCTCACTTGCTGGGACTCCTGACTGACTTAACATAACATGACTTAACATAACATGTAGGAGCAGGAGTAGGCCATTCGGCCCTTCGAGCCTGCACCGCCATTCAATCATGGCTGATCTTCTAATCTAACTCCAGCTAATAACCTGACCCTGCCTTATCCCCATATCCCTTAATCCCTTTTGCAATAAGAAATCTATCTATCTCAGTCTTGAATATGTTCAAGGACTGAGCGTCAACAGCCCTTTGGGTTAGTGAGTTCCAAACATTCACCGCCCTTTGAGTGAAGAAGTTCTTCCTCAACTCAGTGCGAAAGGGCTGCCTCTGATTTTAAGGTTGTGACCCCTGGTTTTAGTTTCTCCAACCAGGGGAAACAATCTCCCACTATCTACTCAATCATGCCCTTGATGATCTTATAGGTTTCTGTAAGATTCCCTCTAATTCTTCTATGTGACCCTATAATAATATTAATAATAATAATAATAATGCTTAAGGTTTCTTTCGCCCTGCCCCGGGTATTGAACCCGCGTCCTCTCGCTTGAGAGGTGAGTGCTCTAACCAATACGCTACAGGACTCCACACATACCTTTCCAATCACATCATTCCTGCTCAGCTTGTCCTTATCCATCACAGTAATAATAATCGTCGTCTCTCGCAGTTTCTCCGTCGGGATCTCGAAGATGAAAGATTCGTTGAAGATGGGGTTTAAACACCTCTTCATCACAACCGTCTTCTTCTTCTCCACCTTCTTGTCTTTGTGCATCAGCCAGACTTTGACGTAGGGATCTATTAGGAAGAGAACAGCACAGGAGATCAGCGATGATACTTTAGAATGGCATTGCACCAGACGTCGGGGACTCTGAGGCACCCACTGGACTTGTTCCACTGCGGCCATCACGGCTCTCAGTGCCTGCGAATTGACTAAGGTTTTGCCCCGATCGGGAATTGAACCTGGGTCCTCTCACTTGTGATGATTATAAAAGTCTCGTACCCAGTACAATCTGAGTGGATCTGTGCAGCATCTATATGACCGTCTCTTCTGTAACAGGAATGCTCATCAGAAGTCTCACAGTGTGCCCAAAGCAATGTCCTACACAATTTCACTATGACTTTTATACTGAAGTAAAGAACTTTGGTAGCAAGTTACCAGGTGGGAAAGGCACAGTACATGCAGTACAACAGTGAGAGGACTCACCCGATGTCCCTCCTAGATCCATGGCTTTCAGATTCCTGGCCTTAATAATATTCACAGTGATGGTGTTGGCAGTCGGATTATAACACAGCGACAAAAGCAGCTCTCCTCGACTCCCCTGAAATAACAGCCACAGAAAGCCAGTCACTCGCTACACACTTCATCCTGAATTACACCCAGAATAGAGAACTCCTGGCAACAGTTACACCCAGGAATGCAGGTCATGTCAGATCTGGAACTATCACCAGTACCTCTGGGTATTTCATACCACTTACTCAAGTCAGCCAGGCTACCTGCTGACTGACCTTAGCTGAGAGATTTACCTCCTATCATTTTGAATGATTTGTTAAATTTATGGTGGACGCCATTGCATTTGTCCCTCATTTTCGCTCTTTTTCCTCTGTTAACTTTACACTCTCTGTTTTTGTCCCATTATATCTAGCACGTTTCACTTTTGGGCGGCTGTGGGATCCGGATAGAAAGACCGAGAACGACGAGAATGAGGCCCGAGATCTCTCAGGATTTTAGGATTAGCATAACTCTTGTGTTGCCATTTTATATCTTTTTTTTGGGGGGGAAACTGTGCAAAATCAACTTCCAAATTTAGACTGGACTTAAGAATCTTTCATGGTCTCAAATTTTATTTTGATTTTAAGACCATGACTTTGAGAGACGTCAAGGCTCAGATATGGTTTGCCATATTCTGTTATGTGTCTCTGTTTCTTCCCCCCCCACCCACCCCTCCCTTCAAAATTCTCACAATCCTTTGTGTTCTGATCCCACTTCTTTGCTCTAGAGTTAAGACGGTATTTCCTTGTTGCGGATCCTTATAGCAGAGTTACTCTCAATCCCCTGTTAATGAGTTTGGAAGAGTACGATATGGCAGAAAGAGTTATAAAGGAGTAAGTTTGCGGTGAGCCTTACACTTCCATCGCTGCATGGCTTCAGATCTTTCCAGAAGGTCTGTGTCTGCGTCAGATCCACCTTGTTTAGCGGCAATGACACTTCTCCGATCGGATCGTTCCGACTGAACCGATCATAATCCAGGACCTGCAGATACATGATTCTCTGCACCACCTTCTCATAGGGAAACCCTGAGGAAAGAGAGAGAGAGGGACCCATCTGTAACCAGTGCCACCAGTCCCCATGTAATGACTGGTCACCACAGACTGTTTCAAGGTGAAAGATGTCTGCGCTCACTATCAGGTCCCCATTACTCTGCGGGCCTAGTAACTCGGATACAATTTACCCCAGACAACAGGCTCCAGAAAGGATTTCCCCAATGTGTTGCTGTTACTGTTACTGTGGGCCTTTTATCAGCCCTCGAGTAATAATGCAATTATCTAACAGATGGAAATAGACAGGGGAGACCAGACCACAGCCTCACCTTCAAACAGGAAGGTCTCGTTCCAATGTGGATTCAGATTCTTCCTTTTGACCTTGGTCTCCAGCTTGTGCTTTTTGTCGGGGAGCAGGTAGATCTTGACGAAGGGGTCGCTTGTGCCGCTGAAGTCTTTGGCTGGCAGCTCCGTGGCCTTCAGTATTTTTACGGTGAAGGTGGATTCCTGGAAGTTGTAGCCGACGCTGAACTGGATGCGGCCCAGGTTCTCGCGGGCGTTTCCCTCGTGGCAATAGTCCTCCTCGGAGCCTGGAGACAGCTGCAGGAGCGAGAGAGAATACAGGCATGGCTGACTTGGAGAAGAGCTTTAACTATAATCTGTCCCCTATGTAATGCTACTTCCTTCGCTTCCCAACCGTACAGTTCCTATTAGGCTCTAGAGGCCATGTTTTGCTCAAAGTCTTAGCCTGATGAAGGACATTGTGGTAAAAGTTAACATTGTGTAGAATTTTGAAATAGATTCCTATTAAACAATCAGTCAGTTCTTGGGACGGCAACTATGTGCACATTCAGAAACTGACTGGACACATGGGTAAGAGGGGATACAGTTGAGGTATAGGGAGAAAAAGCCGGGGTGTGGGACTAAGGATAGGATCTAATATGGGAACTTGTGTGGAGTATAAACACCAGCGGGAACGTCCTGTTTCTGAACTGTCCCTCTATGGAAGCTGTTTTTCACACAATAGACTGACTGGTCTATAATTCCCAATTGCCTCGCTCCTTTCTTTGAACAACATAAGACGTGTTGTCCTCCAGTCTTTAGCTCCAGTGTGTGTAGAGCATCTCAACACATCAACTGGAGACTCGTCTATTTGCTCTCTCAAAGTGTCAGCCTGGCTCAGTTGGCAGCCCTTTCTCCTCGCGTGCCACTGTTTGAACAGTGCTGTGGAATACACTCACCATTTGTCACACGATAAGCACGGAACAAAACTTATGCTTTAATGGAACCTGCGTATAAATAAAGTTAAAGGTTGGAAAGAGGGAGAAATTGGGGAGGTTAGAGCACTTTATAATTGGCCATTGAAGCCAAGCCAACCACGTAATTTAAAAGGGGTATTAGATGGGACACCTGATGAATGAAATCTAACACTAATGAGTAAAAGACAAGGAATGGGTTTACGGCAAACAGCTTCACTGAGACATAATGGACTGAATGGTGCCTGCCACAAGATTGGTTCAGATGAAGAAGGCTCTTTGACTCATCTAATGTCATTCCTACAGAACAGCCACTATTCTTCTCCCCGTCACAGCATCAAGCGCTTTTTTTCTTTAAAAACCAGTGTCCAGACCTCAACCACCATGGAGGGGGAATGGAGGGCAGGGAAGGGTGTATGGATGGGGCGAGGCGTGTGTGGAAGGCGGAATGGAGGGGTGGGGACGGAGGAGAGGGGATGGAGGAGGGGGGGAATGGAGGGTGGGGGCTTTCGCTTTATCTTGATCACTTTCACTTTATCCTCGGGAAGCTCTGGTTTCTTTTAACTCTGATCAGATTGTTCCTCTCGTGACTCCAGCCAGCAGCCCTCCCCCACGCTAGAACCCTCTTCATTACAGGTAGCTAATGACATGATGACAGAGTCTCGGGCCTCTCTCACTTTGGTGTCAATGATATCTGGGCCACAGGCAGGCCAGCTGCTGCGGAGGAAACCAAATTCAGAGTCAAGCTGAGCAGCACACGAAGTAGGCAAAATGTTTATAGGACGGCTGGTTTACACTTAACTGAATAGGAAGCTAAACCACTGGCACAAAACATAAAAGCAGCAATCAGGATTCATTTATACTATATTATAATAATATAAGGATTATTATTATCATACATTTAGAGGCACAAGGGAGAATGCTGTGGCAAATAATACTCCTTGTATTTGATAGAACACCTCACGACATCATTGAAGCATCTCGATTTCACAGGGTTTACTATAGAGCGTAGTGTCTGTGTGTTTTGGAGGCGAAATGGACCGCTGTTTTGTCCACAGCGACGTCCCACAAACAGCCGTGAAATGAGTGACCAACACACAACAAGCGCATACTCAAGTCGAGCAGCAGGTGAAATAAAACAGAAACAAGTTTCAGGTAATTGCTGATAATAATAATAATCCTTACATCTGATGCAGCGTCTTTCATGTCAGGAGGACATCTCAAAGGTCTTCACAGGATGTACTTCACAGGACGTGGAGTGACTGTGTTTTATGCGGTGTGGACTGAAAAGCATTGAAACCTTGTGCTGGCGTTTGAGAAGCAGGAATTCAGTGCACACTGAGGTGATTGAGTGAGAGTGTATACAATGGGTGCAGTGAGACATGGTGTGGCATTTTCAGTTTCTATCCCCTTATCAGTTCTCCTCTCTGTTCGGGCGACTGTGTAAGAAATGTCCTTATCAGCAAAGCCTCGAGGATTACATTTAGGATTTGGAATTCTCGGAGGTCTGGTTCTGCACTGAATACTGTAACCAGTCATTGCATTTTACACCCAGTTATTAAACCATCAAACAAAAGCTCAGGCTCTCCCCACAACCTAGTGGGCAAGATACAGAATGCTGCACCACTTGGATGCACAGACCAAGTTGCAGCTTTAAGTCTCGACTGTTGTTCCTTTACACGCTTCTGTTTACCTAGTAGTAAGTAGGAACCCGGTTGTTAGCCGATTGGCGGATCGCTTTCCCAGGGGTAATAATAAATCCTCCCAATCTTTTAAAATTAAAATTTGATTAGTCAATCGACGACTGTTTGTGGGACTGTTTGTGCTCAATTGGTTGCCACCCACAAAATATACAGTCAATTCACTTTACAATATATTCTGTGCAGCGTTTTGAGACGTCTCAAAGTCATGATCTGAAAACAGACAAGGAGGGATGAAGGCGGTGGGATTGAGGCAGAGAGTTCCAGAGTGTCAGCCATGACATGAATGACCAATTTATTGGGAGGGCAGGACACCAGGAGAAACTCCCTTCACATTGCCAAAAGTGAGAGGATCTTTAATGTCCACTCGAACAGGTAGACGGGTCCTTGGTTAAACATCTGGTCTGGAAGGTGACATCTCCAGCAATGCAGCGCTGTTACAAATATAGGAGGCCACTGTGGAGTGGAGCTTCCACACTTTACATGAGGTTCAGCGAAGTTGCTGAGGATTGATGAAATGCAGCTCAGAGCACGGCTACTCACACCAATTGATGTTCAGGATTGATGGGCAAGAGCACGCAATGTATCAATCTCTCATCAGAGTGTATTGATCTCCGAAATATGTATTAAAGCCAAATGTATTGAGCACATCCTTCATGAATAGAGGTGGTTTCCGTTAAAGTCAAACCTATTTTCCACTTAAGGGCAAACTTTCAGTTTTATTGCACTTTTACCGCTGAAACGTCTCATAGTGACAAAACATTTTCGCCCACAAAATATACAATCGATGCACTTCACAGTACATTCTGTGAAGTGCTTTTTGAGGCGTCTCAAAGACATGATAAGGCGCTATATCAAACGTAAGGATTATTATGATTTTCTGACTTTCTGTGGGCAAATGCAGCAGCTATTTTGTGTAAAGCAAGTTCCCAGACACACCAACGAGGTGAATGACAGATTAATCTGGAGGATTTTAGTCAGAATAATGGGAGAAACTCCCTTGTTTTAACGGTACCTACAACAACACAAGCACCCCAGCAATGCACTGGACTGTCAGCCTAGAATAATGGGGGTTCAAATCCCATTTTGGGACTTTATAAACTCCGCCACTTTCTGAGTCAGAGGCCAGAGTTTAACCAACTGAGCCACGCTGACACACCAGCATTGCTAGATGGCCAGGATTGTAGGCAAATTGTTTCAGGAGTATGGTGTGTTCTGTAAGAACCTTCTCTGGTTCTGAATATTTGTAACATGTATCCACACGAGTTCAGTCACGGTTGTCAGCATAGCTGGGGTGATTGATGGCTTCCTACCAGCCCCATTATATGATGACAGACTAGCTGTAATCACTTCAGTGAAATAAATCCTAGACACATGACTAATTTGCTGAGGCTTGTGACCAGCCGAATTACTTCGGTGCCAGGAGACAGTCAATAAATAAGAAAAGAAAATGTCGAGGAATATTTCACCATTGGGTAGCTGATCACTTCTTTTTTCTCTCAGCTGTACATGCATAGGGTGGAGTCCTAGGCTCACCAGATGGACTGCAATGGGCTTCTGGTCTTGTGCAATTTGTAATAATAATAATCCTTGCATCTGATATAGCACCTTATCATACTGTTGGGATGTCTCAAAGTGCTTCATCGTAAAGTGGATTGACTGTATTTTTTGTGGGCGAAATGCGGCAGCCAATTGCACATAGCATGTCCCAAAAACAGTTAAAGATTGAGTGACCAAATTATAATAATTTTTTTTTTGCAGGGATTATTACCCCGGAAAGTAAACCGCCAATCGACTAACTGCCGGGTTCCTACCTACTGCTAGGTAAACATAGGCGTGTGAAGAAAGGAAACTTGCCTAAAGTTTCAGTCTGCCTGGGAATCGAACCCGTGACCTCTCGCTTGCGAGGCGAGTGCTCTAACCAATATGCTACAGGACTCTGCAAACTTTGGTGCCGTAAAAAGAAAGAGTACAGAAACATCTGAGAGAATTAAGGAGAAACAAATGGGTGAGTCACAGATTGATAGTCCGTGAGATACATTAATCAACTAGAAAAGAAAAGTTCCGTAACAACCATTAGTGACAAATGTTTCAGCATTGTTCAAAAATCAATTTGAAAATAATGGTATTTGAAGGCTTACAGCTAATTATTTGTAATGCCAGTCACTGAAATTGATGCAGTTGAGTAGCCAAGACATCGCTTCTCATTCCCATGCTCTGAGTCAAATAACTTTTGGTTCCATTTGCATGAATTATATTATACTAATGTTATGCAACTGGCTCAAGTCGAGCTTCATCCTTTGAGCCCCAGCCACAGACTCTTGGGTTCAGTTCTCCTCATAAATTCGCTGCCCTGGTGAAGTTTTTTTTCTGGGCAATAATAAAATATCACAATACAAGTGCGATTTTATGCTCCAAATGGCAAACCAGTTGACATTAAACATCAGAATCCCAACGCTTCACAACTACTCAAAAGTCAACTATCCAGAGCAGCAGGATTTCCCACGACACAGCTGCAGGATTAAAGGAATGATACATTATCTCTTCCTCACATTACCTGAAGGATGCTCCCTTCACATCTGAGTATGCTACAGAGAGGGGTCTTCTGTGTTACAGGATGAGCCAAGGATAAACCATGCACTTTATACCCAAGATCTAACAATCCCCCAAATTAAAATTGATCATTCACCTTCATGGTTGCTTGTGGGACGTTGGCTGCTGCCAATTACAAAAATACACTCGACAATAAATCTTCGGAAGCGCTTTGAGTCGTCTTAAAGCGCCATATCAAATGCAAGGATGATTATTGTTGTGGAGGAGTAATTACCCAGCTGACCAAAAAAAAAGTGCATTGACCACAGTACTAGAGTTGCTTAAAGCTACTGATGGAGAAATAAAAAAAATACATATATGGACAAATACGAAGAGAAACGAGAAAGTCAGCCACTTGTCAATGGAATACTTAAGCCTCCCTTATTCACTGTCATTGAGCAGAGACATAATGTAGCATCTCAACGCACAAGGCTCCATCTTCTGTCTAAGCTCAAAGATACAAGTGAAGCTCACAGCGTATTGACAGAGCCATCCTAGGCACACGCACACTAACCAGAGTCCATGGTGAATTTTTAAAGCTCATTGAATTACCCAGTTATCAGAAAAGCAGCTGCATTACAGTAATGACATTCTATTCCTGTTCAATAATGAGCATTTTGTATCGGATTATGTAACTCATTGAACTAATGCGCTGCATATTTTATAGAGCTTTGGGCAAGGACGAAACGTCTCTGATCATCAACCTTGACCAATCCAATAGAACTGGAGCACAGGAGAACTCTTGAAGTGCAGTCAATTTGGGTCTGGCGTGGAATACCAACGACACTACGTGCCTGTGCGGTGCTGTGTAACATTAAACGCTCCAGTTCCTTCCAGCTCAGTCAGCAGACTGCGGCTTATTTTCATTTGACTTGCCTGACTGAGAATAACTAACTATATCAGCGTAATTTGTACTGTAATAGGAGTTATGGAACTAAAGGAACACTTGGGAAGAGTCTATTTCTGCTCGGAAGCCTCTGCTAATGCTATTCCTGAGCTCAGTACGACCAGCCTAGGAGCTGAGATGTGGGCTAGAACCCACAACAACAACACATAACAAATTACATTTGTATAGCACCTTTCACGTCAGGAAGACGTCCCAAGGTGCTGGACAAGAACCAGACTCAGAGTATTACCAAATACGCCAGGCTGACACCTTCAATACGGTGGGATTTTCAGGGTCCATACGTGTCAGTCTTGTGGTAACCAACTCGCGCTGTACTGAAGTTATAGCTGGGATACTCTGCCGTATCACAACAACAACAACTTGCATTCCCTGTACTTCTGTTTCATTCCTACCAATACAACACTGGCTCTCTCTCTCCCTCTTTCTCACTCCCAAGAAGTGGCAGTAGTAATCACTCTCAGAGTGACAGTAGTACACCACTCACTCTCTCTCTCATTCTAGAGACTGACAGTAATAAACCCAAATCACTATGATTGCAGGGGTTCTGATATGTGCCACACCATTACTAATGCACGTTTATTCTTCCTTGCTAACTTTCCCTTTCTGTTTTGTGGACACGCCTCTAACAGTGTTTTCAGACCATCTGCCAATGAAATAGAGCAAATGGTGCATTTGCCAATGCATTAATTGCATTGGTTCAAAAGATTGCAATCCAGACAAAACAGGCAATGTGTAAGGTTTCCACTGAAATGTGGTTGTCCTTGCTGATAATGTCACAGTGAAACATGGGCCATTAATTTATGGTGATTTGACTCCTTTAATCAAGGCGAGGAGAGCTGTCCCTCACTTTCCTAATTTCCTATTTCTTTCAAGATTTTAGGTCAATTTTTAGGTCAAATTAACACACTGCTCAAGGTGAGAGGATTTCTGAACCAGGAGTAATGCACTCATTTCACTTTTGTTTTCCCTCACGAACACTTTCCAGAGGACATCCTAGTTACAGAATATTGAAGAATAATTGACAGTTTCCAACACAAAACAGTCATGGAGTGTGTGACCAAATTAGTTTTTTTTTTACCCCCAGAAAATTGATCCACCAGTTGACTAACAACCGGGTTCCTATTCACTGTTAGATAAACAGAGGTGTGTGGAGTAACGAAAATTGCCCAACGTTTTGCCCTGCCCGGGAATCTAACCCAGGTCCTCTCGCTTGCGAGGCGAGTGCTCTAACCACTAAACTACCGAACTCCACAATCCCATGGCTTGAAAAGTGACAGGAGTTATTCCTAGTTTCCTGGCCAACAATCCCCCAAATAAGTAATTAATCATTTGTTTCACAGTGTTGTGGGACTTTGCTGTGCGCAAATGGGCTGCCGTGTTTACCTACAAATACACAGTCACTGCACTTCACAGTAAATCCCGTGAAGCAATTTGCGATGACCTTGTAATGTGAAAGGCGATATATCAAATGTAAGAATTATTATTATTAATATTAATCAATTGTTGGTTGGCTTTAATGAAAACTTAGGACGTTGTTTTGAAGTTGAGCTGGTTTCACAGCTGGAATTATTCTACACAAACAAACTCATGGAGAGAGAGGAAGGGAGAGCGCGGGTGAGAGATCTGAAACACTATTATGATCAATGATCAAACTTAACCCTCCAAGGTTTATGAACCATCCAAGTTGAACTGTTTCTCTGCCAATTGAAACTTGAACTGATGATGTTCTGCACAGACAAAAATGTGTAAAATGGGATTGACGGTCATCACTCTGTGTTAATTAATCCCAGCGGAGAACACAGAGGTCGATTGATAAAGTAGTAAAAGGATGGTTGGATTTAAATGTTATAAATAAATGTCTCATGAGCAGCATTGCTGAAGACAGAACAACTAGGCTGACTGATTTACTTGACATTATTAAGGAGGTTGAAGTCTTACAAACAAATCTTGTCAGACTTAGAGCTGGATTTTATTGGCCTTTTAGTGATGGGATGATGCTTTATTGCCATGTGATGACCAAACAATGCAGTACTTTAAAAAATGTGTTGATATACTGTGTGTATATATACACTATAGACTGCGTTTTCATAATAATCCTTGCATTTGATGCAGCACCTTTCACATCAGAAGGACGTCTCACAGGATTTACTGTGTAGCAGTGCAGCAATTGTGTATTTGTAGGCAATTGTGCACAGCAATGTCACGCAAGCAACCATGAAATGAATGACCAACCCACAACCTTCTGACTCAGCAGCAACGGTGCTATCAGACTGAACCATCCCCCCAACACACTCGCCCCAAAATGCTCCCCTCATCTTTTGATTCCCCAAACCTTCCAGCTCATTGCACTGCAGGCATTCCTCAGGCTCTACCCTCTTCTCTTTAGTATAAATAAATTAGATAGATTTCTTTTAGGAAATAATATCGCGGGCTACAATATATAGTTTGGGACATGATGACACGTGCCTGCGCCTGCACCTTGACCTTCGTTCGTCGAGCAATTCTTATGTTTTTACGGTCAGAGCTCTTCCTGCACTGTTGCAAATGTTGCCGACTTCCAGTGGGGCAATGGGATAAAATGATCCGTTTCCAACACCGAATCTTTCACCTTGAAGAGAATGAACCTCAAGCACTGGATAACAAGTAAATTCATGTCCTGAATTTGTGCCATTATCCCATTGCTGTAACATATCCTATTTTGACTTAAGCCCTCTGCTTGTGCAAAGTGCGATATGTGGATTGAATATTTGAGGGCAACTGTGCTTTCAGGTGTCTGGTCTAATTTAAGGAACGGTATTTTGCACAGGTTTACTGCGCTGCACGGCTACTCACCATTAACATCTCGCTGGTCAGGGAGTTCACAAGATCTGAGACAGAGGAGCGAGGCTCTGTTTTCCTGTCAGAGTCATCCACAGGGAGCTGCCCTTGAACTTGGGCTGTATTCACTGGCTTATTTCCAGTGGGTAACCTGCAACACAAACAAAGCGGTCGGTTCTCAGCTGAACACGGGCACTGTAACCGTGGCTGGGGCTGGCCCCACCTTAAGCTAGGCTGCGTTTCTGACGGCTGTGAAAAGATCGCATTCTCTCAAAAAGGCTCCAGGACACTGTCGCGCAGAGTTTGCAAACTTCAAATTAATTTACAAGTCAATGATTAATAACGGAAAACACTTTTGTTAGCTAGTTACACACTCTCCTCAATGCTCTGGCATCCAAAACAATGGGGGGAAAAAAAGCTGTAACAAGGACAGACAGTTCAAGCCCGCTCTTTTTGGACATTGTGGGTATATGTAGACTGTAACGTCAGTGATGGTATAACGGTGGTATAGACTCTAACAGCGCTGGTTCAGAACAACAATCCTGCAATTGTATCATGGCTCACAAGCTCTACAATAGAGATATAGCTGCAATCATGAATCGTATCTGATATGGTTTGCTAAAGAACAACACTTTCCCTCTATTTGCCACTTGCTTATTTCCCCTATGTTCACGCTTCCAGCTTCAGTCATCTCCACACCTACCACTAGCCTGTCAGTAGCAACACGCACCTCTATCGGATGGGTGGGGGGAATGGGGAGGGGGACAAGGCTAGCACACCTAGTGTCACAGCTGAAATACAACACCAACAAACAGAATTTTGCTCATTCACTCATTCAGGACACTCTAGTGATCAACTACCTTGGGGACCTCAATGATATAAACTACAAGCGTCAGAACTAGTCTACTGGCCACAAAGGATCCAATTTGGATCACCAACACAGCGTATGACAAATGGGTGCTTTAATGAGGCAGCTCTTGATTAAAACAAGCATATTAATAACACAGTAAAGCAGTTGGCTGTGCGATATGATCCTGTGAGCCTAATGTTGAGCGGTAAATGGAAACTAATGCAATCCGTATGCATATTTCTCAGAGTCAGGTGAAAGCAGAGGTAGCCTTGTGCAGAAATAGCTGATTACTGCTTCCAGATCTGGGACGTTAATGGGGCAAGGCAGCCAACGTAGTTAGGGCACAGCTGTTGAGCCGACCCACCTGAGAGTTATTCCGCAGTTCTGGTATGATTTACATGGCATAACGAGGAGATAAAAGACAGCCCAGGGACTCAGTCAGAGGCCACTGCCAAATTCAAAGTGGAAATTTAAACCCCTTTTGCATTTAATAAAAAAAATGAAAGACTGGCCCAATCTGGATGCACTTCAAATAGCTGATCCATCCAGGCCAGAGCATGCGTCACCGGGTGGATTGTTAGTCTGGTGCGAGGCATTGGTCCAAACCAGAGATACTGGAGAACGTTATTCAAAAAATAAATCCACTCTTCGATATCATTGCGGGAAAGGAGGAGTTGAGGTACAGATCAGCCATGATCTAATAGAATGGTGGATCAGGCTCGAGGGGCTGAATGGCCTCCTCCTGTTCCTATGTTCCTATGAAAGGTGACTGTGCTGACCATCATGATTTGGGTGCTATCATGAAGAATGATCACTTAGCTGAAGAGCTAGAGAGCCCCCAGCTACAGGAGCTCAAACAAACGGCAGCAACTTCAGGAGAACAACAACAATAATAATAATAATCCTCAGATTTGATACAACGCCTTTGACGGTGGGAGGACGTCTCAAAGCGATTCACAGGACTTACTATGACTGATCGTTCAGTGACCCTGTATCTTGCAAAAACAAATGGGGCAGCTAATTTGAACACAGCAGTGAAGTGAGTGACCAATTTGTTTTCAAGATTGATTGGTTTTAGTTTTCTGTGCATTTGCCTACAAAACACACATTCACTACAATTTAGTGCATCCTGTGAAGCGCTTTGAAATGTCCTCCTGACATAAGAGGTGCGATATCAAAGGTAAGAATTATTATCATTATGGCTGCTATTTGCAGATTGATCTGGGGATATGGCTATTGATTGACAGCACAGGCTGGAAGCTGTGAGAATACCAGGAGTGTAATTGAAGGCACAAGGTATTATATTTGAATGTCATTGTCGTTCATGTGGACTCTTTAAAGTTCCCACAGCACAAATTGGAAAAGAGAAAGGTGTTTCTCCCGGGATCCTGGTCAACAATTCTTTGGGTTTAATGGTCATTTACTGCATCGGCTGGTCCAAATGCCTACCATGTTCAGCTACAAAAATAGACACTACACCAGACATTAATCAGCCGCAAAGCTGAGACTTTTTACCTGGACAGGAAAGAAGGGAATTTAGAGTACTTTCTCCCTAAATATTTAATATCTGTTTATTGCTCCCGGGATTAGGCTGTTCTGGAGAGCGTGAATCCTGGCCTCGCTCTATACTGCACTGTTCAGTAAGGAGGGTGGGGGGCTGGATGTGTGAAACTAACACCTGATCTCGCAGCTTTGTAGAAGCAAGCAAGCGCAAGAGTAGAACTGCAGAATTGTGGGTTAGATTGGGCAACGTTGGTCATGAGACAGGTCACAATCAACTCCCCAATAACATTATAAAATGCTGTCAAGCTGTCCAAGCAATTTTAAAGGACAACTGGGCTTTAAAAGGCGAAAGGAAGGGCGGGGTGGTGGGTGCGTGTGAGGCTGGAACTGCTACTAAATTGTACCTGCAACGTTCATACTGGAGTGGCCGGGGGAATGAGCGGTACTAAAAACAGTCTCCGTAGTAGCCTGGTTCACATATTCTCTCCACCGCAATTTATCTGCTGCCTTTCAGCTTGTATGCTGCACTGTGTCACATAGAAATTTACAGCACAGAAGAAGGTCAATCTGGCCCATCGTATCTGTGCTGCCTCTTTAAAGTGCAACCACTAAAGTACAAACGGGAGTGCACACCTACACCACTGGCTAGACCACTGCAGCATGACCAGCCTGGGACAGCATTGGTGGTCAGAGAGCAGACAGGATCGGGCTCCCTGTCCACCCACGCACACGTACCACTGTCTGCGTTACACTGATACCATTAAACTATAAGCACAAACCACTGAAAGCAAAGATCAACAAGGTTTCGCCGTATTGCACACCATGTTCCAACACACCCGATGGTTCTCAAACAACAGAAAGTAACTGACAACAAACCCTCAACTCATCTCGAGTCAAAGTTTGGTTTGATCACGACACAACTGGTGACTGGGGCTGAGGTGCTAGGAAGCTTTACCGATTCTCAGCATCGGTTCCTTTGCGAGAATCCTTGCTGTTACCTTACTGTGAATAGAAACGGTCAGGGCGAGCAGTTGTTACCTGTCAGTGTGTTCAGTGGGAATTCCCATACCTCTCTAGAGGGTACAGGCACAGCATAGTGCTGACCGAGCATCTGCTAATCAGCAATGATGGACAGAACTCCCAATCTGCATGCACACACACACACACTCATGCACACACATACACACACAAGAGAGAGCACCTCTGCTACTTAACAAAGGGAAGGAAAAAGAAACATTAGGTCACTTGTCACAGGGAAAAGGCACATTGAGAGGTTAATCGATGGATAAGATAGGATGAGAGTGACAGCGGTCATTAGACACAGCGGGGGCAGGGGAGAAAAGATACAACAAAGTGCAAAGATCAGACAAAACAGGGAGTGAAAAGGTAGAAGGTTTAGCCAGTGCTGTAAAGGGTAAGCGGTGTTAGTCGGTAGAGCTTTCCTGGTGAAGCGGTGAGTGTCTGGGGCTGGGAGTGCCCTGGTGAAGTCTGTAAGCAAGGGAGAGAGACAGCTTCTTTAGATGAGGAGCAGAGAGTAAAAATAAGAGAAAATAGGAGAGAGAGAAAAAGAGGTAAGATATACAGCAAAAGAACAAGTTGCAAAACCTCACGCAGTGATAAGCCACAGAGCCATAGCAGCAGAACAGTCTGGTAACCACAACAGGTGACTTGAACCCACAAGTAACATGGAGAGCTTGGCAGAGAGGCTACAAACAGGAAGGCAGGGTTGAGAGAAAGTGTTTAGCTTGAGCAGGGCAGTGCCAGACACAAAGGCCACAGACAAATACCGAGAGTCTGATCCAGGAAATCTGCAGGAAACCTTGTTTGAGAAATGAGATGGAGACAGAATTGACATTACACTTTTTTTTGACAAAGATTTGCTCACAGAATGGGAAGATTGGATGAAGCTGATCGAAGGCTGAGAGCTTACTGACTCTACAAATAACAAACCATCCAGGACACACCATTAAACATGTACATCAGACCCCAGAGGCTGGTCAGAGACCTCTGAACCAACATCTCACATTTACAAAATATTACAACTATAGGGGGAGCAAATGCCTAGGTCAGGATGGTCCAACTGGCATCCGGCCCGGGAGTTTGGAGGGGGTAATCAGGATCATCAGGGTAATCATCTCTCCAATCAGGAGATGGTCACAGGAATGACCAATCAGGATAAAAAATTGCTTTCTCGGCCCACAGACTTTTCTCAAATCCAGGATCTGGTCCTCAGCAGCCAAAAGGTTGGACCCCCATATCCTAGGTTACCAGAAATAATGTTTAATAAAAATATACTACTGTAATATGGACAACAAAATCTCTCCACGCTGCAAAAATAAGGGAGTTATTTCACAATGAACGAACTGCATTGTTATTCCTTACTTCATCTATTAATTGTCCACAGTACCTTTACAGCATCACTTTAGACCAATTGTATTTTAAAAAAGAAAGGTCAGCACCAGTATAACATACAGGATAACATGGAGCAGGGGATGGGAAACATGGGATAACATACACCAGAGAATGGGAAACACAAAAAAGCTTGGAGCAGGCCACGCTTTACACACCAGATAACGGGCAGCTGAGAATGCATTATATACAAGAACTAGAGCAGAGAGTGTGTTACATAAGAGTGCAGAGCAGAGCTGGGAGTGCTACACAGAGCAGAGCTAGGAAAGGAAATCAGGAGAACATTTTACAAAAGGAGTAGAGACGTGTAGAATTACTTGCGAGGGAAGGGTTGAAGAAGCAACTACATGTATTTTGGAGAAAGTCGGACTAAACAGGAGCCTCCCCAC